AGGAACTTTTAATGTCTTGCATCAATAAAAACCAAGCAGTAACGTTTGTTCCAAAGAAATATTAACAGAAATCTGATCAGGGACATTTCATACATGTTAACAAATACCATCCAAGCATAATATTTGGTTCTAAAGAAATATACCAGTATTTAAAAATTGTATGTTCCAAAGAATTCAATGAAAACTTATAAGAAACGTTTCAAAATTTACGGTATTGAAAATCATTCCATGTAATAGTTGTTCCAAAGAAATTTCAGCATAAACAACTTTGTTTCAGAGAATTTAATCAAAAGATACATTTAAAAATTCACAATAAAAAAAAACCATCTAATGTAAGTTGTTCCAAAGAAATGCCATCATAGAACATGTGTTAGTTTCAAAGAATTTAATATCAGCATCAAATTTGTTCCTTCCAAAGAAACTTATTTGTTCCAAAGAATTTTATCGAAAATACTTTCGTTACTGTTTCATAATTCTTGCTGATAAAAATCATAAAATGTAATAGTTCCAAAGAAATGCTGGCATTAGAAACTTGTTGGTTCCAAAGAACTTAATTGAAACTCCATTAGAAACGTTTTATAATAATTATTAACGCTAATAAAAATTATTCAATGTAATAGTTGTTCCAAAGAAATGTCAGCATAAAAACTTTGTTGTTCCAAAGAATTTAATCAAAAATTCCATGAGATACGTTTAAAATTTTACTCTAATAAAAATCATTTAATCATAAGTTGTTCCAAAGAAATATCAAAAAATAAAAACTGCTCTTATTCCGATGATGGCAACTTGCTTTGTAAAACGTATTTTCATGGTATAATTTAATAGTTGTTCCGAAGAAATATCACAAATAAAAACTGCTCTTATTCTGAGGATGTCAACTTGCTTTGTAAAACGTTCTTTCATGGTAAAAAAATTGATTTACGTTTTTATTTCGGAATAAACATTTTTATTTCATGGTATAATTTAATAGTTGTTCCAAAGAAATATAAAAAATAAAAACTGCTCTTATTCTGAGGATGTTAACTGCTTTGTAAAACATATTTTCATGGTAAAAAAATTGATTTACTTCAAGGACGCGTTTTTATTTCAGAATAAACATATTTATTTCATATTTTAATAGTTGTTCCAAAGAAATATCAAAAATTAAAACTGCTCTTATTCTGAGGAAGTCAACTTGCTTTGTAAAACGTTCTTTCGTGGTAAAAAAATTGATTTACTTAAAAGGACGCGTTTTTATTTCGGAATAAACATTTTTATTTCATGGTATAGTTTAATAGTTGTTCCAAAGAAATATCAAAAATAAAACCTGCTCTTATTCTGAGGATGTCAAATTGCTTTGTAAAACGTACTTTCATGGTAAAAAATTGATTTACTTCAAGGACGCGTTTTTATTTCGGAATAAACACTTTTATTTTATGGTATAATTTAATAGTTGTTCCAAAGAAATATCAAAAATAAAAACTGCTCTTATTCTGAGGATGTCAACTTGCTTTGTAAAACGTACTTTCATGGTAAAAAATTGATTTACTTCAAGGACGCGTTGTGATTTCGGAATAAACATTTTTATTTCATGGTATAATTTATTTGTTCCAAAGAAATATCAAAAATAAAAACTGCTCTTATTCTGAGTATATCAAGTTGCTTTGTAAAACGTTTTTACGGTAAAAAAATTGATTTACTTCAAGGAACGCGCTGTTATTTCGGAATGTACAAATTTGTTTCGTGATTATAATCTAATGAATACAACTCTTAAAATCGTTATTAGTTTCTGCAACGTTGAATACGTTTCGTGCGTTAATTGTGAAAGCATACGTTTTGGGAATGTGTAAGTTCACACAAAATAAAGATACGCTGCCTAACTAATTTACATTTGAGTTTTTTTTACATTGAAGTTCGATAATAATTTTTTTAAGATCCTTTGATAATGATTGTACTGGCAACTTTTTTGTTGAAATGAGAATCAAAAGGAGACAAAAGATAGTACAGATAGTATAGTATGGACGTATTATTAGGGGCAGTTTAGGGATATCGCGCATTTTAGGGTATTTTTGAAAGATTTATAATATTAGGTTGGAAGTTCGAATTATACAGGATGCAATAAAAAAATCAATCAAAAGAAATGAAAATAAATGTTACCTGTATCTTAAAGTGAAGTAACAGTCAGGTTCCCATCAGAAATGGTATCACATTAAAATCTTATAATCAAAGAACTTACCTTTATTGCCAATCTACGTTAATAGAAAAAAAAACGTAATTAAAATTATGTTTGTCTATACAGAGTTGTACGAATATTGGGACGTCCTGTAAAATATTAATAACGTAATGAGCAAAATCATAAAAACACACTTTGAGTATTTGAGGAAGTATCACAAATAACTACATGACGAACACTTTTTCCACTTTCTTGAACGCGAAGATCTCCTTCGTTTTGGGACAAATTACTTGGCCGTTGTTTTGACGCGCCATCTCGGCCAACGCCTGAAATATAATTGTTATAAGTTATTCGGCGGGAATCGAACCCGCTACCTCCGGTATACCGTACCTGTTCGCCGTATATATGGCCGTTGGGCAACATCATGGGCTGGTTGTTTTCGTTCATCGGCAGTCCGCTTATATGGCAATACAGTCTGGATTGGGAACAGTGAGCGAACGGCAGACACTCCGCCAATTCGTTCAAGTACGGCTGGCACACGGGACAGGTCGGGTTCCTGTTTTCGCCGGCGTCCGAGTAACACTGATTGCACGGCATTAAGGAAATTGTCGATCAAAATTTGTAATTTATAATTCAATAAATACACCTACGGTATATTTGTTAAAAGAAAGTCGCCGTTTATTTCATTTAAACGGCTTCGTAGAAAAAATCAAGAGGTGTCAAATCGGGAAAAGGTGTTGGTTCATTTAATTTTAAATAAATAAAATTGAATTAAAATAAATTAAAATTAAAAGAAATTAAATAAAACTGAATTAAAACAAATCAAAATAAATTAATTAAAATTAAAAGAAATTAAATAAAAAATGATAACAAATAAAAATGAATTAAAATTAAAAGAAATTAAAATAAATAATTAAAATGTATAAAAATTAACATGAATTAAAATAAATTAGTTAAATTCTGCCATCTGGCCCTGACATTAATTAAATAAAAATGAATAAAAATAAATTTAAAAAATTAAACGAAAAATAAATAAAAATAATATAAATAAATTAAATAAAAATGAATTAAAATGAATAAAATTAAATAAATTAGTGAAATTTCTGCCATCTCGCCGACATGAATTAAAAATGTCAAATTGGGTAAACGTGTTGTTGTCTCATTTAATTTTAAATAAATAAAATTGAATTGAAATATATTAAAATAAATCGAAATAAATTAAATAAAATTAAAAGAAATTAAATAAAAATGAATAAGAACGAATTAAAATGAATTAGAAGAAATAAAAATGAATTAAAATAAATCAAAATAAATTAATTAAAATTAAAAGAAATTAAATAAAAAATAAATTATATAAAATTAAAAGAAATTAAATAAAAATCAATAAGAACAAATAAAAATGAACTAAAATTAAAAGAAATTAAAAAAATTAAAGGAAATAAATACAAAATGAATTATATAAAATTAAAAAAAATTAAATAAAAAATGAATAAGAACAAATTAAAATAAATCAAAATAAATTATATAAAATTAAAATAAATTAAATAAAAATAATAGGAACAAATAAAAATGAATTAAAATTAAAAGAAATTAAATAAAAATGAATTAAAATAAATCAAAATAAATAATTAAAATAAATAAATTAGTGAAATTTCTGCCATCTCGCCCTGGCATGAACTAAATAAAAATGAATAAAAATAAATTAAATAAAATTAAAAGAAATGAAATAAAAAAAATAATTAAAATAAATCAAACAAAATTTAAAAAAATAATTAAAATGAATAAAAATATATATGAATCAAAATAAATAAATAGGTGAAATTTCTGCCATTTCGCACTGGCATGAAAAAAATTACAAAAACAAGAGGTGTCAAATCGAGTGAACTGGCTCATTTAATTCTAAATAAAAATGAATTAAAATAAATAAACATAAATTTTAAATAAAATTGAATTAAAACAAATTAAATTTAAAGATTTTAATTAAAATGAATTAAAATAAATAAATTAGTGAAATTTCTGCCATCTCGCCTTGACATGAAAAGAGTGAGGAATGAATTGACAAAAACGACAAATCAAGGTGTTAAATCGGGTAAACTTGTTGGCTTATTTAATTTTAAATAAATACAAAATAAAAATGATTTAAAATAAAACAAAGTAAAAAAAAATTAAATCAAATTAAACAAAATAGATTAAAATAAATCAAAATAAATTAAATTAAATAAAAATGAATTAACTTAAAAGAAATTAAATAAAAATGAATTAAAATAAATTAGTGAAATTTCTGCCATCTCGCCCTAGCATGAAAAAGTGTCAACAACGACCAATCAAGAGGTGTTAAATCTGGTAAACTGCTGGCTCATTTAATTTTAAATAAAAATAAATTAAAATAAATCGAAATAAATTAAATAAAAATGAATTGAAATAAATAAAAATAAATAAATTAGTGAAATTTCTGCCATCTCGCTCTGACATGAAAAAAGTGAGGAATTAATTGACAAAAACGAAAAATTAAGGTGTTAACGTGTGGTTCAAATTTTTTTGTTTAAATAATGATCTTGTTGCTGTTTATTACATATAAATTTCTTTGTAAAAAAATATCTAGGTGAATATCGGGTGAACGTGTTGGCTAAAAAAGTTTTTGTTCATATGAGATTTTTTGTACCTACCACCGTACCTAAAATATTGTTAAATTAATCCCAATTCTGAATGTCACATTATTAGTCAGTTTTTTTACTTTAGGGTGATTGAAAATAATTTTTAAAATCCACAAATAAAAAAAAATGTTTCTCATTCTGACTATACCTGTGGACATACTGCGTATATATACATGTATCTATATTATATTTGTTTAAAAAGGATATGGAGTTTTGAGCGCCGATAGTCCAGCTTGTAGTGCCACCGTAAACACTGATTGAGAAGCCAACTGGAAGAGCCTGTAATTTTCTTGTCTAAATTGTTCGATTAACGTGTCCCATCGTTTTTCGTCCAACAACGATTTGTACGGAGCGATATCTGTAATAAAACGAAAAAATTGCCATTTATAAAGTAACCCACGACTATTTCCTAGGATATAAGGAAAAATCTCGAAATGTGGCAGTGCTGGTTTCGACTTGTACACTTGATGATTCGATAGTACTGCCTCCAGTTATTTCTTAAGATCTACGGAAACATTCCGAAATTTGGCTACGTTGGTTTTGACTAATAAAATTGACGATTCGACAAAACTGCATTCGATTATGTTTTAAGATCTGGAGGAAATTAACAAATCGTGGTTTCGACTTTATAAACTTGACGATTCGACAGCACTGCATTTAATTATTTATATACTATATCTGGCGAAAAATTAAAAATGTGGCAATGCTGGTTTCGACTTGTAGGATTTGGTAGCACTTTATCTGATTATTTCCTAAAACCTGGAGAAAAATTTCGAAATATGGCAACTTTGGTTTCAACTTGTGAACTTGACGATCCAGCAGTACTGCCTGCGGTTATTTCTTAAGATCTGGGGAAACATTCCGAAACATGGCAACGCTGGTTTCATCTTGTAACCTTGACGATTCGATAGCACTGCATCCGATTCTTTCCTAAGATCTGCAGAAAAATCGGAAATGTGGCAATGTTGGTTTTAACGAATCGCAGCATTACATATCATTATTTATTTCCTAAGATCTGAGGAAAAAGTTCTAAATGTGGCATCGCTGGTTTCTACTTGTAAACTTGACTTTTTGTTTTGATATTCTTGGAATGTGTTCTTAATTTTAAATGAAACTACATGTTAAAATTACTATGATTTGTAGTTTTATTCAATATAAAAAATCCCATGTCCCAAGAATATTAAAACAAAAATTCAAAAATAGGGCGTAAGAATCATAAATAAACAGAATGTTCCTAAAACGTATAATATAATCAAAATTGCAAACTTAAATATTCGCCAGCATTAGATCTGATAATTTCCCGAGATCTATGGAAAAATTCTGAAATGTGACAACGCTGGTTTCGACTTGTAAACTTGAAGATTCTATAACACTACATCCAATTATTTCCTAGGATCTGGAAAAAAAATCCAAAATGTGGCAACACTGGTAAATTTGACAATTCGACAGCATGCATACGATTCAATCTGGGGAAAACTCCGAAATATGTCAACGCTGGTTTCGACTTGTAATCTTGACAAGTCGGCAGCATTAAATCCGATTATTTATTTCATAAGATCTGGGGAAAATTCCGGAATGTGATAAAGCTGGTTTTTCGACTTACCCGTGGTTATAGGAAACGCCAACAAGGCCATGACCTGCTTGATGGTGGACAAGTGTTCCTCCTCGAAACCCGGGAAATGTTTCCTGGCGTGCTTGATGGCGTCCATTCTTCTATCGGAACGGACCATTTCGACGAATTCCTGTACCCTGAGATTGAACTCCATGTTAGATTTCAGTTTCCTTAATTTGGATTTGTTGTCGTGGCACCAAGACAGGCACTTGTTCGTTTCTTTGTTGGCCAGCGACTTTTCCACTTCTCTGGACGTCAGAAAAATGTCTGAAAACGTCGTAAAACTATTTTTTCCAACTTATATGCTCTCACTGAGAAAAGTAATTAATAAATATGGCGCCTAATTTGCTCAACAAAAAATTCACGTAATTACCAATATTGGTCAAATCCTTGATGTCAGATCTATCGGCGAGAGTTATGGCGGCGTTGTAGTAACCGTTCCTTAGGAAATATTCGACTACCATACGGTCCAAACGTTTCCGACGCCACTGATTGAGGGCTGCTTGGGATAACGCGCCCATTGGCGTCAAAGTGTTGTGCTCCTTCAAATGTTCCAACCTCCTCTTGCACACATTGGACGCCACCAATTCCTCAGCTATGCTCTCTTCAGCTGCAAATCAAAAAATGCAATTGTCCAATAAGTATATTTAAAAAAATAACGTCTTTAGCTTACCCTTCCTCTTTAAAACCTGCAACTTCTCGACCATGCCGCCTAACAATGATGATATATCTCTGGCTTTCACTTCGGATTGTTGAAGCGTTTCTTCTATAAGAGTGGCTTGCTGTTGGACATGAGACACTTCTCTGTCTATGGTTTTCTGGGCGGTTCTAAATTTCTTGTTCAAAATTTCGTACGGAACCTGAACAAGAAAAATGAAACATTCCCTTTTTAAATTTAAATAAAAATAATAATTCTACATGAAATACCACATAGATTTATTTACATTTAACAGTTTTATTTTCTACTTCTAAATTACTGGGGTACTGTGTTAGTAATTGGACTAGTTTTGCTAATATAAGAAATCTTAAATGTTCAAGTTATTGAAACTGTCAAAAGTTTAAAATATATGTAATATAAAATTTATAATAATTATCCCGAAAAAGTTTTTCCACATTGTATATTTCTTGAAACTTTTAATTTTGACACACTGTAAAAGTTTATTATATCAATAAATATAAAAAATATAAAAATTCTATAAAACACAGAGATAAGATGAAGAAACAATTCTTAAAAAATAATACTGTGTTGCTAACTGAATATAAATTATATTAAACCATTTAAATAAAATATTTATTAGTTTTATAAGTAAATGATAAAATCAGTAATACACTAATCAAATTGAAAATAATAAATTTGATGTAAAAAGTATATGATATAATAAAACAAGCTACAAAGGAATCAAACAATAAAAAATCCAATGAAAACGATAAATGTCTTCCATGCCAATGATAAAGAAACGAATACTTTTCAATAGTAGGATTAAACATGGCCGAAATAATAGTTAACCCTCTAAATAAAATTAACATAAATTACCTAAACTGGATGGCATTAATTACTGTTAACAAAAATTAATTAATTGAACATATAAACTCTGTGTCGGGCAAGTCTTTATCCCTTACACTTTTACATTATTCTCCAATTTTAATGGACTGTATCAAGCTGAATACCTTCTTCTAGTAGGAAATAAAATACTTGCAACCTTTAACGCCATTTACTATTGTAGGTCCATTAAAAACTTTTGTACAACACTGGCTTACACTTAGTAATTGTGATAAAAACACTAACTATGCAAATTCATCACACTCTGGCATGTATTTTTATTACTTAGTTTTAATAAATTAAATATGGCGACATGGCGCCTAGCCGAATGGATGAACCGGTGACGGCAAAACATTGTGCTTCTAGTGAGATTTGCTGATGCTCTAACGCTGAAATAAGCGGGATATAGCGTCGCTTGCGTTGACACGTCTTACCCAATCATTTTAAAAATAGGTGTTCACATGACTTATGACGTATGACTAGAGTCTAGAGTGCCAGCGTCTACTTTGTCTCCCGAGCTTTCAGCATGCGCGTATTGAACCTGGCACTGTCATGCAGCAAAATAATTATTGTGAATTGTGCCAAAAGGGATGAATAATTATTCTTCTTGGGCTGTGTCCGGGCCGTTGGAGTCTATGTCGGTTGGCGTAGCCAAGTATGGGTTGATTTTTTTTGGTGGCGGCGAAGCCGCCTCTCTACGAGAAGTCGTTGCTTGTTACTTCGTCTTCTTGTTGCATGTTTCTTTCTTTAGATTCTATGTACTGTTAGTTTGCCATGGGAATATATATTGAAGGGATTTATAGTAATATAATTAATTTAAATTTATTTCAGTTTATAACCTCAAAAAACTATTATTTATCAAACAAGGTAAACGTTCTACAGGTTCCTGTATCACTTCAATATAGACAAACAACAATTTTTGCGCATGCGGAAGCTTGGGAGACAAAGTGGACGCTAGCTCTCTAGAATCATGTTGACGTACACTGTGACCTGTGACGTACAGAGGAGGACTGAGAAATATTTAAATGTTTCAACAAACTCTTTAAAAAAACAGCAACGATTGTGGGATTGATGGAATAAGTTCGAAATTAATAAAGATCTGTCAGTCCTACATGGTTGAATCTCTTGAACACATAATAAATGAAATTTTTGCAACTGACAAAATATACAGTATTTTTAAATATACAATACTAACACTTATTTTTAAGCAGGGAACTAAGAAAAATTTCGAATTATAGACCAGTTAGTCCAATCTCAAATTTTTCTAAAATATTTGAGCAAGATAGGCTATCTAGAATAGTATTTTTTATAAATTTTTTTATCCATTCTTGTAGACTATTCCCTTAGATATAACTCAATTTCTGGATTGCAAGAGAACCTTAATTCCTTTTAGGCGGTCGTTTAAATAATTAAAGTTAAATAACAAAAAAAGAATCTGAAGAAGCCAATATTTTAAGGAGACTCACCTAGTAGTGTCTGCGTTCTGGAATTCTTGAAGGGGGCCCCACACGTTTTCTTCTTGGGAAAACGGAACACCGACGAACAAAATAACAAAATATTTCTATTTTTCCTTGCGAACACTTCAGCGGATCATACGGTCCTCGTCGGTTTAAAATCCAAAAAAATGTCCTTTTTACAAACGCACAGATGTGCGCCGGCGCGAGTGATTCCCATTATATTGGCAACAAATAAATTAAACTATTTTGATAAAAATATTAAGGGTCACTAGCATCCAATTAATTATGAGAAATATCAACATAAAATAAATATTATAAATTAAGGAAAAAACGCGTAAATACCTAACATACTCCCACCCCAAAAGGCGCGTAAAAAAAAACGTGCCTTTTCCTAAAAAAAAATAACAGTTCATTAAAAAGGTAACAAAAAATATTTTATTGGAGAGGTCCCCGAAAAACTAAATATACAAAAAAAACTACAGACCAGGCAAGCAAATTGATCCTACTCAATAGGCAATGGACATAGCTTGACCAACGGTCTCTTAAGCAAACCATTAGGGGTTTTAACCGTCGCGACGCGTGCAATACCGTCAGCACCCGGATGAAATTGTACAATTCGTCCTAAGTCCCATTGCAAAGAAGGTAAATTATCATTTTTTATTAACACTAGCGCCCCTTCCTTTGGAGAATCAACAGATTTAAACCATTTACCCCTTTGTTGCAGGGTGTGTAAATATTCCGCGTGCCATCTACGCCAAAAATCTTGATGTAATCGTTGTATCAATTGCCACCTCGTTAAACGGTTGAGGGGCAGTTCAGTAAGAGTCTCATCAGGTAGAGCACTCAAGGGTTCAAGAGTTAAGAAATGGCCAGGGGTAAGGACTGATAGATCATTTGGATCTGTACTAAGCGATGAGAGAGGTCGTGAATTCAAAACGCTTTCCACCTGAACTAAAAAGGTATAAAACTCCTCATAAGTTAAAATTTGGTCACCCATGACTCGTTTCAAGTGCGTTTTTACGGATTTGATCCCCGATTCCCACAATCCTCCCATGTGGGGAGAGTTTCCTGGCAAAAAATGGTGCTCTATCGAATCTATGGCCGACACGGATTCCATGATATTTTTGAGCTCGTTATAAGCACCTACAAAATTGGTGCCTCAGTCGGAATAAAGATGCGCGCATCGCCCTCTACGAGATACAAATCGTCTTAACGCGGCTAAAAAGGCGTCACTCGTGAGATCGGAAGCCAGCTCCAAATGTATAGCCTTTGTAGCCATACAAACAAACAAACAAATATGGGCTTTGGTAACTTTAGCACCACGAAGCCTGCCCATAGTGATAGAAAATGGACCTCCATAATCTACCCCAGTGCGAAGAAAAGGTTTAACTTGAGAAATACGTATAGAAGGTAAGTTACCCATAAGGGGTTGTACCGGGAGAGGATTTGTCTTCCAACATTTAATACATTTGGATAAAACGGATCGAATGGCTCGACGGGAAGATAAGATCCAAAAATATTGAGACAGTAGAAATTGAGTTGTGCGCAAACCCGCATGTAAAAATAATTTATGATAAAAATTAATTAATATATCTGTCAAATGACATTTTCGAGGCAATAAAATAGGATGTTTTTTATCATAGGTAAGACTTGACAAGGAAAGCCTTCCTCCTACCCTTAGAATCCCTTCTGGATCCATAAAGGCATTCAATTTCTTTAAAGGTTTTGAAAAAGATTTGTTCTCTATTTCATCAGAAAAAACCAAAAGTTGAGTGCGTTTTACAAGAAGTTTTAAGGCAGTAGTTTTTTCCGAATAAGTCAAATAACCTCGTCGTTTATCATCAGTTGATCGGAAATTATAAGTAAATCGTAATATATATGCCAGAATGTGTTGAACTTTGGAAAAAGACGAATAATTAGATAGCAAATCATCAATAAAGTTAGGTTCTACGGTGGCGGATACAAAACAAATTTTGCGTTCCTCTTCCTGTGTTTCAGAAAAGGACAGAGGATTAATGACATAATCAGAAACTCGTAAAAAGTCTGGGCCTTGCAACCAGAGGGAATTATGAACCATTTCTGATGGAAAAAGCCCTCGAGAGGCAGCGTCGGCCGGATTAAGATTTGTCTTAACATACGTCCAATTTGTTGCAGTTATTTTATCGCGAATATACGCCACCCTGTTGGCTACAAAAGTAGACCAACGTCTAGGATCAGAATTTAACCATGCTAGAACAATTTGAGAGTCCGTATAAGCATGAATAGCAATAATTTTAAACTGATCTTGATAAACCGATTTAATCCAACCAACCACTTTGGTTAATAAAACAGCGCCACACAACTCCATGCGAGGAATTGTGATTTTTTTGGTAGGGGCAACTTTTGATTTACCACACACGAAAAACATTTTTGCAGAACCTGTGTCATCGATAATTCTAAAGTACGCGACGCGGTTTATCACTTCCTACTGTATGTCAGCACATTCATAGCGCTGAAACACGGTAGGAAATCTGAATATCATGCCCGCTCTATGTCACTTTAAACCATACGTGAATTGTGTGCTGCAGTCCAGGAGGAATTCATGAGCGTGCAAAGGCGTAAAAGCAGATGAAATTCTACCTGCTGATAAAATTGTAATTATTTTTGAATGATAGAGTTGAATAGTTTTGTTATTATTTTGTAGTCTGGTTTACAAGTAAAAAATGGAGTTAATTCTTGCTACTGCTATTCTATATATTGAGTTGTTTTTACAATAGGTCTGATTATTAGAAAGTATTAAGAAAATAAATTTATTTTTTAGCATTTGGCACATTACTGTTAATATTGCTTAGTAGTGAGTGTTTTTTTTTTTTTAATTCTTCCT